GGGTTGGGGGGGTACTGGCTTCATTGGTGTTTGTTCCATGTCCCCCGACCCCTCCACTGGGAATGGAGGGCAATGCTGGTCATACCGGGGTCCATGGCAAAGGACATAAACGTGATAGAAACCCCATGCTTATTAAACTCTGCCTCGAGGAGCCTCTGCAGCTGCATCGACGAGGCCACCGCCGCCGACTTCGAGCTGACTATACAGCCTAGCTCGGAGACGTCTTGTTGGAAAGCGCGTGCCGCCTGAGGAAGATAGCGGCCGATGAAAGAAGAGGTACCTTGCAAGTACTGGAGGGCAGATTGGGGTACTCGGGTTGGGTTGGGGTGGTTTGGTGGTTGCGGAGTTCCACGTTCAACCTGGAACGCCCTCGCCGTGGTCGCAGCCGCGCCGACACGACACGAACCTACCGTGCCGACCTGGGCAGGAGGGAGGAAGGGAGGGAGAGACGGAGGAGGAGGAGGAGAAGGTGGAGGAGGAGGAGGAGGAGGAGGAGGAGGAGGAGGGGGAGGAGGAGGAGGAGGAGGGGGAGAAGAGGAGGAGGAGGAAAGGAGGAGGAGGAGGAGGAGGGGGAGGAGGAGGACCTGAACACCGACTTGGGCCCCCAGGGAACACATAGGTACGTCGTTACTGCACAATTGTGACGTGCACAATCGCGAAAATGTAAACATACAACAGCTGATCGGGCCCGCAGATTCAGCACGCAAGGCCGATCGAGTGCTGAATCCGCGGGGGCAGCGCCGCAGAAGCGCGGGAGACGCGCCTCGGGGCCCCAAACCAAATAGGTGGAGCGTGGGAGGGAGAGCGGAAGACACGGATTCGGCACGGAATCGGCCTTTGCGCGCCGAATCCGTAAGACGCGGGAGACGCAGATTCGGCACGCAATGGCCGATTCCATGCCGAATCTGCGTCTCCCGCGCCCCCTCCTGCGCTCCCCCCGTTGGTTATATATTCGGCACGCAATGTCCGATTCCATGCCGAATCTGCGTCTCCCATGGTCGATTTTGGGTTTGTGTAGTTTCACTTTTCGTTGTATGAATACGCTCTACTTTTCAGGGAACACGGCCTGGGTAGCCGGGGCCGGCCTCTCGCTCTGGGGGCTGCCGAGGTCGTCGCCGTCGTCGTCGCTTACGCTGTCGTTGTCGTCGTCGTCGTCGTCGTCGTCGTCGTCGTCGTCGTCGTGACGGGGGCGAGAGAACCGCAGCTGCGCGCAGCCGTCGGTCGTGGCCGCCTTCCGCTCTCGGCGGGGCAATGTCCAACCGATCCGAAAATAAAATGGCAGGTTAGATGAAGCCAGGACGTGGATAAATTCGGATGAGGATAAATCAAGAATCTGTGAGATTCGGCGGCTCTGGAAAATGTCTCGGGCGCCGCGACCTTCTCAGAGCGTTCCGGAACGCTCTGAGAGCGTTCTGGAAGGCTCTGGAACGGATTCACCCTCGTCCTAGCCCCGTCCGGGCAGGGCCTGGTGTCCGCTATCATCAAGGCGTGCATTGTCGGGCCGCTCCGTATGGACGTCGTCGCTTGTCGACGCTTCCCATCTCGTCCGCGCCTTGGTGTCAATCAGCTCTGTGGCAGCCCCACCTGGCTCTTTCGATCTGTGCGAGTGCCACGTGCGCGACAAACAAGTGGGCGTCGTCTCTGCGCCCCCCTCTGCCCGTGGTCGGCTCTGCTTCTGGCTGTGTTTGCATCTGCCTGGGAACGTTTCTGGATCGCTCTGAAGCGATTTACCCCATCCTAGGCCTGCCAAAAACCCTGAGCGCAAACATGTCGACTTCTGACTCTTACCTCCGCCGCCTTCAGCCGGCAGACCCGCCGCCATTGAACTTCCGCTGGTTTCCGCCCGAAGGCGGGCCTGTGACGAAAGCGAGGCACTTTCTGGAGCGCGCCTCGTCGAGGGGGTCTGGGCCTGGTGGCTGTCGGTTCATAACTCAGCCCCCCGCAGCCGTCCGAAACAATTCGGACGCACCCGGGCAACCCTTGACGAGATGATGCAGCTGCTGGCAAGCATCCCGGGCGAGAATACCTCCAAGCAGTGGGGGAGCCGACGCTGATGACAAAGTCCTGTCCTCCCTCCCTCCCTCCCTCCCTTCTCCCGTCTGCTGCACGCTAGAGCGTCCCTAGGCAAGAGTGATCGCTGGTGCGCGGCATCGGGGAGGCGCGGGGGAACCAGAGCCAAGCGCGCAAGACGCTCCTAGCGCAACGCACTCCCTGGACATCCGAAGATGCTATTTTGTTCAACCCACGGCCCCGGAGGTACCGATCCTTTCCTCGGGGGTAGTTTTTCGCGGCATTAATGTGTGATGGTCCTGGGCCCGAAAGAGGGCACATATGGCGAAGTCTAAGAAAACTGACGGGATTGAAAAAACATGTCTACAGAAATCTGGATCAGCGATCGGGGGACTCCAGTGGGCCTGCACCGAACTCTGGCGAGGGGGCGCTCCACGTTTCCTCGGGGCCTCCAGCGGCCGTTCGGAACGATCCGGGCGCCCTCCAGAACGCCCTCGGCGAGGCACAGCTGCTGGAAGGCAACCCGGGGCAGGAAAACCCTCAGGAGCCAATGAAAACGGCAGGAAATCTTTTGTCGACAGCAGCAGGAGGCGAGGAATTCCGCCCCGCGCCAAAATCGGGCACACGCGAACATGGATTAGTGATCCGTGGATCTGGCGCGTGAACGACAGATCCACGCATCGGGGGAAGTATCCCCCGGAATGTGCAGAACGTGCCTCCCGATTTGGAGACGGGGAACATCGAATTTGCGTGGAAGCGGAACCCGTCGCTTTGGAGGCGGCGGCGGGTTCTGAACTGGTTGGGACCTTAGAAAATCGCTGAAGAAGGGAGGGGTGAGGCTAAATGCGCTCAAAACCGGTCCCCGCACCCCTCCGTGGTCCATCTGGCGAAATTCTGTGCACCCCGGATCCATTTCTGACGACCCTGGGGCCCGAAAACACCGCCCAGAGACAGAAAAGACGAAGAACTCAAAACCTTGAACATGCCCACTCTTCCTGCTCGCCGGAATTACTGCTGGGCCATCTCAAACCTCTGGGCGGCTCAGACCGTCCCTAAGCTTTACGCCAGGCTCCTCGTCCTCATCCAGTCTACCATCGTAGCGATGATCTCCTCCGCACTGTACAATCCATGGGTCCTGGAATCTGCGTTTGTGAACCGGAGTCCAAACACGGTCTGGATCGCTCATGCATTGGGACCTCTCAAGTTTTCGTCAGGCCTGCGCACTGTCCATGAGAGCCAAAACGCAGCTGAGCACAGGAGGGCGTGCAGGCAGCTACGGAGCTCGGACCTGCAGAAGCAAGGCGCGGACGACGCTGGCAAAACCCCAGGGGAGCAGAGCATTGACAGCGCGAGCGCCGAATCGCTCTCCAGGGCTGGTGCCTCCTCCTCCTCCTCCTCCTCCTCCTCCTCCTCCTCCTAGGAGGAGGAGGAGGGGGAGGAGGAGGAGGAGGAGGAGGAGGAGGAGGAGGAGGAGGAGGAGGCGGAGGAAAAAAAGGGAGGAGGAGGGGGAGGGGTGAGGAGGAGGAGTTGGAAGAGGAGGAATGAGTATTAGTAGGAGAGATGCTTCTGCTTATTCTTCCTGCTCACAGTTTGATTTTCGGCTTCTTCGGTTTTGTCTTCTTCTTCTTCTTCGTCTTAGTCGTCTTGCTTCGTCTCGTTTTTCCGTACTGGAGGAGGTCGCTCCGGCGAGCGCCGCGGAGCCCGCGCAGGGAGCCGGCGGGTCCTCGTAGGCCAGCTGGTGGGCGTCGTGGGCCTGGGCGCTCCTGCTGGCGACGGCCTCCCAAGGTCCGCGGGGCTAACGCGTTCGGGGCAGGCGCGCCCGTCGTCGTCGTCGTCGTCGTCGTCGTCGTCGTCGTCGTCGTCGTCGTCGTCGTCTTCGTCGTCGTCGTCGTCGTCGTCGTCTTCGTCATCGTCGTCGTCATCGTCGTCGTCGTCGGCGTCGGCGTCGCCGTCGTCGTCGTGGTCATCGTGGCCGTCGTGGCCGTCGTGGCCGTCGTGTGGGCGTGGTCGGTGTCGTGGTCGAAGTCGTCGTGGTCATCGTGGTCGTATTGAAGATGGGCGATGGGGCACAATCATATGCAAATTGCAGGACGAAGCTGCGGGTCGTTAGGTCCGGAAAAAGGGGGGAGGTATATCCTCTTTTTCTTGTTGAACAGAGAGCGCAAGTTGTGTAGTCTGTGAAGAGCAAACTACTTGGTGCAATTCGCGCATGCTCAACTTGAGTTTGTCCACCCTACTGTTCGCGCAATCGTCCCACCCACCCACGCGCAACGCGGTTTGCAAAACCCATGCGGAACCGATTGCGATGAATGCTTGGTGTTGGCTGGTGCATCTCTGCGGCCGCGCCAGCCCGCGCATGCACGCGTGCGCAGCGGCCAGCTAATCTGGCGCGACCGACGCGGCCGCGGTGGCGCTGACCGCTGGGCACAGCCCAGCGGGCACTTCAGTGCGAGTCGGCGACTTGGGCGGGCGCGGTATCATGGCGACGTCGACAACGGCAGACGCGCTGATGATAGCAGCGATGCTGGTGACGGGTGGCGATGTTGACAACGACGACGGCACGGCCAGTGACGGCGCCGATGCTGATCACGCCGACGACGATGACGGCGCCCTCGCGTTGGTGATGAAGGTTTTGGAAGGAGTTCGACATGCGCGCGCGGCCGACGCGTGAATGGCCCGCATGGTAATATTTGACACGGATCGTGCCCTCCCAGCACGCGCGCAACGGCTTTCGAATGATTTCAGCACGCGGCGCGAGAGGCCCGTTTGGTAGAATTCTATGACATTGTTGGAACAAAAAACGATGGTGGCCCGAAGGATTCGCAAGAGCGCGAGCGCAGGTTTGTTTGAAAACTTTTGTCGCGAACCAGATGTTATATATACGGTATCGGGACACTCTGTTTTTGAATCCTTACGACACCGACGGTTTTTGAAGGATTACAGCATGCGCGCGCGACGACGCACGCGTGCACTTCGTCATGTTCTTGCAACGGGTTCTTGCGACAGCGCGCGCGCAAGGGCGTTCGAACGATTTCGACATGCGCGCGCGAAGCCTGTTTGGTGGCACTTTCTGAAAATGTTGAAAACCGAAAGCTTCGCAAGAGCGCGAACGCAAGTTTTTAGGGGCAATCCTTGTTGCGAAACCATGTGTTGATATAAATTATTTGGCACACTCGGTCTTGCAATCCTTACGAAACCTAAAAGGTTTGTTTTGAAAGATTTCGGCATGCGCGCGCGACGACGCGCGCGCGTGCATTTCGTCCAATTTGTTGCAAACTATTTCTGGACACTTATGATTTGTGATAAACGAATACACGCGCAGAATATACTGTGCAGAGGATTGGGGGGGTCGAGACCGGTTTAGCTGGGAGGATATGAATTCAAATTTCGGATGGACAATAAGGCACAATCGCACGTAAATTGCAATACGAAAAGGGGGGGTAACCCCGGGGCGGGGGGGGGTAGATCCTAACTCTCTCTCTCTCTCTCTCTTTCTCTCTCTCTCTCTCTCTCTCTTTAGAAAGGAGAACTAACTTTGAAAACTTTGAAATTGTCAACTCCACTGCTCGCGCCATCACCTCACCTGCCCACTGGCAACTTAGATTGCAAAACCTGTGCGGCGTCGATTGCGATGAACGCTTGGTGCTGGCTGGCGCATCTCTGCGGCCGCGCTGCCGCGCGAATTCTGGCGCGCATAGCGGCCAGCTAGTTTGGCACGACCGACGCGGCCGCGGTTGCGCTGACCGTTGGTGACTTCCCAGCGCGTCTCACTGACCGCCCTGACTCGCAGGCACATCACTGCGAGTCGGGACTCAGGCGGGCGAAATGTCATAGCGACGTCGGCAACAGCAGAAACGATGATAATGGCAACAAACATGAAAAAGATGAGAACGATGACGACAGCAACGCCAATGACGACGCCGATGCTGACCACGCCGGTGACGATGATGGCGTCCGCGTGTCGGTGATGAAATTTCGGAGACGATTTCGGCATGCGCGCAGCCGACGCGAGCGAATGACAGGGACCGTGCCCACCCCAGCAAGCGCGCAAGGGCTTTCGAATGATTTCAACATGCGCGCGCATGAGGCCCATTTGGTCGCATTTGGCGAGAATGCTGGGAACATTGGTTCTCATCAAAATTTGCGCACATTTCTGGTTCAAGATCACATCCCAAAGCCGCTGTTGCTTTACATGTCTTCGGGAACCTTGATACTCAACGCGCGTCGCGCACGTGTCGACTCTTCGGCATTGTCTAAATATGATGTTCGGACAGCATGTCGATGTTTGACATACTCTCGCGTAATAATATTTGACTGGGATGAAAGGGGGGCGATATGTAAGTTGCACTCACACAAGGGGCGCCGACAATTCGCAGGGGTGTAGATCTAAATTTATTTTACGAGAGCAGCAACTACATGGTACCTTTTATGTGGTTCGCTCTATATTGTGCAACCTATGTGGGGCATTGTTGGGGTGCACTCTATGTGGTGCAACATGTGTTGCTTTATACATATATATATAGATATACACAACATGTGTACATATACATACAAACATATTTACGCATGTATGTTGACCAACCTACGTTGTGCAATTTGCAGCCGCAATGTGATGAATAATCTTGTAATTTCTGATGCAAAAAAAGTGAGCAATTTCGCTGACATGTCTGTCAACAACACCTGGGCCACCTGCTTTGGTTCATGTTGTCGTGACGAACGTGCTTCAGAAGCTTGGCCACCTTTACGGTAAATCGGTTAAGAATCACTGGCGCAACTTTTCGGGAGAAGGCTTCTTCATCAGGTGTTCGACTGGATGTGGTGCAATCTATGTGATGCAGTCTGCGTGGTGCCATCCATGTGATGCAATTTACGTGGTGCGAAATATTTGTTGCGCAATCTGCGTAGGGCAATCGGTGTGGTGCAATCCGCCATGCCGAACTGGAAACTGACAGCTCCACTGCTCGCGCAATCACCCCGCCCACCCACCCACAATTTGGTTTAGGTCGGGCATGTCTTCCTACAGGCGGATTCCGGGAAATACCTGGAAATGATCAAACATAATCCAAAGTAATAACAAAAAACAGCCACAAAAAACACCCATAGTCGCCACAAGATATTTCTACTATTCTTGAGCATTCCCCCTGTAGAGGGACATGCCCGACTTAGAATCCTGATGTGCGAAACACGCGCGGCGGCGATTGCCATGGCTGCGTGGCGCTGGCTGGCGCATCGCTTCGGCCGCGCTAACGCGCGCATGCTCGCGCGAAAAGTGACCAGCTAGTCTTGCGCGACCGACGTGTCCGCGGTGGCGTTGTCCGCCGGGGACTTCCCAGCGCGTCTCGCAAGCCGCGCGCTGACGCGCGGGCACGTCAATGCGAGTCGGTGATCCGGGCGGGCGCGGTATCACGGCGACGTCGACATCGGCAGACACGATCATGATAGTAGCGGTGCTGGTGTTGACGATGACGATGACGACTGCACGGCCAATGACGGCGCCGATGCTGATCACGCCGATGACAATGAAGGTGTCCACCTGTCGGCGATGAAAAGTTTGGGAGGATTCCGACATGCGCATGTTGCCAACGGGCGCGAGTGGCCCGCGTGGTATGATTTGACACGGATCGTGCCTTCACAAGCAAGTGCGCAAGGGCTTTCCAATGGTTTCGACACATGCGCGCGACAAACCCGCTTGGTCGACTTTGATGAGAATTGTGGGAAACGATTGTTCTTTTAAGAGTTCGCACCGCCGCGCGCTCAGTTTTTTGGGGAACAATCTTTCGAATCCGGTCCACTCGATTTGAAACCCGCACGAAGCATAGCGGTTTGAAAGAATCCGGCATGCGTGCGCGACGACGCGCGCGTGCATTTCGCCAACTGTTTCGCAAAATGCTCTTGCAAATGAACGATGCTTGATCATCGAGTGCGCGCGCTTGCAAGGGATGGTTAAAGGGGGGGCCTGGTTCATATTGGACGGATAATCTCGGCCTCTGGGGGGATGGTAGATCCGATTTCATTTTGAGGCAAGAAAATCTGGCGGCGGTGACGGGGCGACCACGGCGACAACAGAGCCGCCACACCGACAGACAGGCCCAGCAACGGGCGGCAACGAGGCAGCGACAGGGCGGCGACGGCGACATCAGAACCGCCAGATTGACAGACAGGCGATGAGGCGGCAATGGGGCAGCGACGGCGACAATATAGCCCAGTTCCTTAGATGAGAAGTAAGATACCCTCAATGCAAACACTGCTTGGGGAACGCCCACACATACACATACACATATATATATATATATACGACCCTTCGGGTGAGGGGAAAAGGGCGGGGACCAACATCTGACTCAATCGATCTCACTATCGATCTCACTCAACGGGACACCACGGGACACCACGGGACACCTGTCGATCTCACGATCGATCCCACAATCGATCTCACTTTTTGGGACACCACGGGACACCTCGGGGCACAACATCGATCTCAGTATCGATCCCAGTATCGATCTCACTATCGATCTCACTATCGATCTCACTCAACGGGACACCACGGGAAACCACGGGACACTTGTTGATCTCACGATCGATCTCACTATCGATCTCACTCAACGGGACACCACGGGACACCACGGGACACCGCTAGGGCCACCGCTGGACGGAGGAGAAGCATTTGTCTTGACTTCGCCCTAGCAGCGGCGGACACCACGGGACACCACGGGACACCGCTAGGGCCACCGCCGGACGGAATATAATCATTTGTCTTGACTTCGCCCAACGGCGGACACC